CACACACACACACACACACGCACACACACACACACACACGCACACACACACACACACACACACACACAGGCGCTCTTCGTAAGTGTCAAAAGGGAATATATCTTCCCGCTTTCACGGGAAGATGCATTCCCTTTTGGCATCTCTGTGGGCATCCCCGTTAACGCTGCAGTGCGGCGACTCTCTCTCTCTCCCTCTCTCTCTCTCTCTGTCTCTCTGTCTCTCTGTCTCTCTCTCTCTCTCTCTCTCTCTGTGTATATATATATATATATATATATATATATATATATATATATATATCACACACACAGGCGCTCTTCGTAAGTGTCAAAAGGGAATGTATCTTTCCGCTGTCACGGGAAGATGCATTCCCTTTTGGCATCTCTCTCTCTCTCTCTCCTGCCCTCCCCCCCTCTCTCTCTCTCTCTCTCTCTCTCCCCCCCCCCCCCCCCCCCCCCCCGCGCCCCAGAGGGGGCAGTACCCTCTCTTTGGCGATGCATTTCTTTTTTTCCTTTTTTGTCGTTTGTTTTTCCCGTTTTTTTTTCTGTACTTCAGAAGTAGGTTCGGGATGCCTGCGCCCTGTAGTCTGAGCCTCTACCCGGTTCGGCGTACCGGTCGGTCGAGGCTCGGACTCGATAGCTGGGCCAAGTACTGGTGGTTTAAATGGGTTTTCCCACATGGGTTGCCTACTGGGAAGCTTTCCCTATGACTGTTGCCACCTGGGTCGATACCTGGCCTCTACAACAACCTGGCCTCTACAACAACCTCGGGTAGGCATCCGACCTTTGCAGCGGCCGAAACGAAACGACGGCCGCCAATCAGATTTATCAATGGCAGTCGTCGTCGGGCCCGACCTCCGGAAATTCAGGCGCTTGGGAAAACTGCCAGTTTTCTCTATTTTCCCACGCGGGAAAGGTACTGGTGGTTTTAAAAAAAAAAAGAGAGAAAAAAAAAGGTTTGCATAAAAGAAAAAAAAAAAGAGAAATGGAAAGGGAAGCAATCAATGCTCTGCTATCTCAGGATCCCTTTGACCATAACAAAGAGAAGCTTTGAGTAGGCAGCTTTGAGTAGGCACTTGATGTACGGCACGCTGGACCCATTTTCCAGCCTTTTTAACAAAAACAATGCCCCCCCCCCCAAAAAAAAAAGGTCCTCAAGGAACCTTCTGCCCAAGGCCGGTTTCCTGTAAGAAGCTGTCAAAATTTGCTCTCATTTCCCAAAAAAAAAAAAAAAACAAAGAAATTACTCTCAAGCCCCATTTCCAACCAAAAAGTCTGCTCATCCAGTTTTTACCCAAATAAAACGCCCGGTCTTTTTTGCTGCATCTGGTCTGAAAGTTGCTCCAAATACAGCTATAATGACCGGGCGTTGTATTCGGGTGAAGAAGGTAGCCATATCCCTGCAAAAGTCTTTATTGAAGTGTATTCCCTTTGATGGAACGCGACGAGTGTACTCACAATTGAACTTCCCTGGATGAATTTGACAGCCGGCACGGCAAAGATATGGTCCAGACTCCATAGTGTGAATATGCCCTAAGTCATCACACTCAGATAATCCTCCTACTGCACACCTTATTCCTATTGCTGTCCATCATGCATGCACTGTACTGTGCACACAAACACCTTCCCTTCCATGGTAGTACTACCGGTTGTGTACAATGATCCCCTGTTGGCATCCCTTTCCCCAGTTCTCTGTCCATCTTGTCATGAAGTCCTTAAACCACCCGTACTTGGCCCAGCTATCGATGCCGAGCCTGAATATGCCCTGCGCGCCGTTTTGTGCCGACCCAGTTGTTTTGGATGGCGGCGTCAGCCTTTCAGGTCCGGTACCCCGGGCCTCCGAAACTTGCGGGGAGTTAATGACAACGCCCCGCGACTGACATATGGGCCAAGTACCGGTGGTTTAAAGCAAACCAGTTGTGGATAATGATCCTTGCTTCTCTACTCATTGAGCTCCTTTCTTTTCTTAACCAACTTTAGGTTACACAAGATTGGTCCTACAAATCTAATCTTGTCAAAATCTTGTCCCTTAGCACCCCTGCTAACCTCGGGAGGCCTGAGCGCTGGGTATAGTAGGGATGGGACTGGACTCCATTTTTTGAGTTTTTTATTACCTCAAGGCGTACCTTTGCGACTAGCACCTTTTACTCATAAGTCCAATACCATTGTATGTCCAATCACTTTGATAGTAATTGCAGGATCTACTACCTCATCCATGGAATATAATAGAGCAAATGATGGGATTGCAATGAACATCAGTATAATACTAGGAAAAATAGTCCAAATGATTTCTATAGTGGTTCCATGAACAATTCTCTCCTTGGACCCGGTTTTTTCCAGCAATGCTTCTGGCTCTAAAGGGCCGCTGGGCCCATTTCTAGCTCTGGTTGGGACCTCTTGTTCACATTATGTTCACTTCCAACTGTCTCGAAATTTTTCGAAAGTACCCTGCTATCCAGGGTAATCTTTTTTTTTTCTTTTTTTTTTTTTTTTTGGACAATTTGCTCCAATCTATTCGTGGGGGGCAGCACGTGCTGGAAACTGGGTCCAGCGTCCCACATGAATTATTACACAACATATGAGGTGCCGGGGCCAGGGGACGAATTTCCAAATGTTTCAAGATGATGTACATTTCATAAGGGACGCTGGGCCCAGTTCCCAGCACGTGCTGCTCCCCACGAA